TATATATATATATATATATAGAGAGAGAAAGAGAAGAAAGCTCACAAGGGACACCTCAGTAATGATACAGTATATACTGCAGATGTAAGACATGATGCATCGTGTGAAAAAGGACTTGTGCTCAACAAGCAGAAATGCACCAGTCCTTGCTTGGTGCCTTAGGGTCTAATCACAGATATCAATGCCTCTGTGGCATTAGTTATTTTGTTGCAGGGCCTCACTGGGTTGGCTATTTCAAGTTGTCTTGATTCAAGCGCTACGAATGCATCCAGAAACCTAAGTCTGGCTCTCCGCGTGGGTGGCCGTCTGAAACCCATTTTTAGCACCGCCTTGTTCTCTTCGTCATGCCGTCCTTTTTTTTTCTCTGTGCAGAATTACGAGCAAACTTCATTCATCTTTTTCTCCTTCCCCTGCAGAGATCATCCGAGCCGAGCGCATCACCGTCCGCGACGTCGCCACCGACTCGGCCACGCTCCAGTGGCGGCCCGTCCTGTCCGGTTTGACGGGCTACTACGAGATCCGCTTCAGCTCGCTGCCGCCGGGAGAAGCGGGAGGCGGTGGAGAAGGAGGAGGAGGCGGGACCAGTCCGAGCACCAGTGGTAGTCAGTACCAGAGGCTGACCCAGTCTGCAGAGTCCAGCACTGCCAGGCTAACGGGCCTGAAGCCCGACACCACGTACACCGCCACGCTGACCCCGGAGTCCAACGACCAGGCATTCAACACACTCTCCATCACCTTCAAAACAAAGCCAGGTTGAAAAGCCACATTTTTGCAAGACCTGAAATGCTACTTATTAACTGGAATTAATTCATTTGAAGTGTGCCATCTCTATCTTCTTGTTTTTATTCTATTCTTCTATTCTAGTTAGTATGAAATCATCCATCCAATTATCAATCAAGTTGAATTAAATTATCATGGGGAGGTTATTCTCCTCATACGATCTCACACTTACTCACTGTTTTTTTCCCCCCAGAGGTGCTGAGCCCCGCCGTAGTGACGGTCTCTGAGTCGGGGCAAACCAGCGTCCGGGTGAGCTGGGGTCCCTCTCAGCCGGAGACGGTCACGAGTTACTACGTGGAGTACTCCGCCCTGCCCAGGGGCAAGCTCCACGCTGTCACTGTGGGCCGGACGCAGAACTCCACGCTCCTCAGGGACCTCCAACCAGACACCACGTACCTGGTCACGGTCAGTGCCCGGCACGCCTCGGGCACGGAGAGGGCCATGTCCGTCAAAGTGTGCACCCAGGAAGGTGAGTCGCGCGAAGACAAGGCGGTCGAACTCGATGATCAAGGGTCCATATATACTGCCAATTATCCTAATCCCACGCAGCCTAGCCCTTTCTGTGTCTTCTATTTCAGATTATTACTAGCAGGTTCCATTCAGGTTTGAAATGTACTCTGGCTAACGACCGGTGTGGTCTTCATTTGCAGTGACTCCGGCCCTGGCAGACCTGCAGCTGACCACGGTGGGCAGCGACGCGGTGCAGGTCGACTGGAGGAGCAGCCCGGGCTCTCTGAGGGGCTACTGGCTCACCTGGGAGGGACGGCAGAGCTCAGTCCCCGGCCAGCGCTCCTTCTATTTGCCCCCCGACTCCTTATCGACGCGCCTCACACGCCTCCCCCCGGCTACCAGAGTGTGTGTGTCGCCCATTTACCGGACGGCGCGAGGGGAGGGGCTGTGTTGCACCGCACAGTTCAATTCAAGTGAGTGGTGACAGGGAGCGCGGACGTTTTCACGCCATGAAGTGAAGTCTTAGAGTTGGTCGGGTCCATATTTTGTAGGGATAGTGTGGGAAATTGACATATTTGCTTTCTTTGAGAGAGTTTAGCGTTGACTACGCAGCTTGAGCCAGGATGCAGTTAGCCTAAGTCTAAGCAAAAAAAGTCTGACATTTTGGAACATATGAATCAGTTACTGATGAGAAGATTGATACCCCTCTCACACTAGTTGCCAAGCAACCCAGCAGAGGTTCAACACATTTTTCTGGACACGTACCCCTCCATCAAACTAGTGATTTGTCGCTTTTACACAAAGACTTTTTGTTAATCAGCGAGCCTGTTGAGGTGCCTGTAGGGGGATTTAGTCACATATGGACAGAGCCAGGCATGGATAAATCAGTCAACAGTTTAGTTATTGTAACTTCTTTCTACCGGAGTAATAATCCCTAAAATAATTTTTTTTTAAAATGTAATTCTTCATTACTGTGAGCATCACAAATGACATTACATTCAGCTCTCATTTCATCGGTGTGGACGTAGAACTCATAGACACATTAGACACATGTCATGAATATGTTTTTCTCTAATTGGAGTGAACAGCCCCTCTAAACAGAAACATGTTTATGTCGGACTGAATAAATGGCTCCAGATGAGTTCCATTTGGCGGAGTGAAGAAGATTCACAACACTTTTACTTTTGCCCAAATGTTTCAATGTATGAATGTCAACGTCTCAACTTGTCCCCCCCCTCTCTGTTCTTTAGATGCATTACCATATGGCTACCAATCATAGCACCCCCTTCAGCTGCTAGTGCTCCCTACCAAACATGGAGGCACGATGAAGGCAAGAAGAATGCTGACTTTTCCTCCATAATTCTTTTCCGTTGCCTCTCCCCTCTGTGGATGTCATCCAGGAGAGCCGTGTGGTTTGGCTCACTGAGCACTCATGTGGAAGCCATAGACACTTGAGAGTGGTCCGGAACAATGTGGCCACATGTTGACTGCTACAATGTGCAACACAGAGGACTATTTGCTTTTCCTTTTTTTCGTCTCATCTGGTTTACACCTGTAGTAAATGTATAATGTTACAGATTAGAGTTGCAAGCATAAGATGATTTTTTTTTTCTTGCAGAAACAGAGCAGGGCGTGCTGGGAATGTTGGATATTTTTACGTGGCTTGTTCCGGAGAAGGGCTTTGCACCATGTGTGGGCCTCATGCCCAAATCCTGCTAACACACAGAGAACATCTGATTTGAATTTATAATGAATGCTTACAAGTTGTACTTAAATTACTTCTCTTTCAGCACATGCTTGACACTAGTGTGCAAGGGAACGTCAACGCCAGGTCCCTAATAACAGGGTCTTCAGTATTGCTTTGAACAGAGCGTCCACACAGATGCTGGGTTTGACACAAATGCGCATGACGGAGAGTAGCGTCTGTCCGTGGACATGGATCCATTATTCATATTTATTAATCAAGAATCATGTAAGTATGATAATTAATAGCACACAGTATTTACAGACATGCTGTTTACATATTAAGACTGTTACCTTCTTTTTAAGCGAGTCTCTGCTGCCCCCTACTGAAAGCATCCTAACAGGCTTACAGCGCGATCTTTTACTGGTATTCTCTTAGAGCAAATGTATTGTTTGATGTTGGTTGACCACTATTGAAATTTAACATTTGTCATAGAAAAAATGCAATAAAGTCCTTTAATAATGTTGTTTGTACTATGTGTACTTAAAAATGTATTATTATAGTACAATGTAGCATTGTGGACAGAGATAAGGACTAACTCCACTGATTTTACTGAGTTTATGAGTCGCGAGGTGTACTGAGCCAGTGAAAACATTTGTATGTCTTTTGTTGCTCTACAGGAGCTTTGAATGATTTAGCAGGCAGAGTGGGTCTAATGAAAGACTTTGGGAAGTGTAGGATACAGCATTTTGGGACTTTGACTCATTCTTGGGACTAAAAATCTGGATATTTTGGCCTCTGCTGCTTCTAATGAGACCATTATTTTTTCATCTGTCTCCTGCAAGTCCCCTAACTATTTGCAAATGCAATATTTAATCAATAAAGCCCCCCTTTAAATCACTTAATAATGAAACTGTACCTCATAGGGACTACATTTATCAAGAAAATTAACATTCATAATAACACTATGGAACCAGTGTTGGTCTTAATAATTTCTTCCACATTTTGGGAAATACAACAATTCCAAACTAGAACAGAGTACTCAGAATAGTCTAACCTATATTATAATTTATCAGAGTATATATCTTTTTTGAAAAGTTTTTGTAAAACAGTGGCAAATATGAAATATAAAACAGTGGCAAATATGAAGACAAATATTGATTTGTCATTATTTTTCCGAAAGTACCCGAATGGGCGCAAAGGATGATTTCGGGCGGATGGTAGGTTTCGGGAGACCAGGAGCACCTGAAGGCAGCATCGGGTCTGATGCAGTTGCTGTATCAGTCCAGTAGGGGGCGACAATCTACACATCCTGTTTCCCGTTAGCTCATCAAGCTGCAATAGCCAATCCTTGACATTGCGAAGATGGACGCTGTTATGGTGTAGACCAGGATACATAGAAAGCAAAAACGGCGAGTTTCAGAGGTCTGTTATGACAACATTTCCAGTTCGTACAGGTAAATTTAAAAAAAAAAACTTGGTTACTTAGCTAGCGAGCAAACGTTTGCGTGTTTGCAAAGTTAGGTAGTTAGCAAAATGACAGCCAGCTCAGCTACTTAATGTCAACGAACGGGCTAGCGAATATGAGCTAAACTAGCTAGCAACGTCGGTCCAACTAAACACAGCGTACTGTGAGATATCTAACCGATACGTTAGTGCAGCCTCTAGTCTAACCCAGAGAGACAGACGTGTTACACAGAAGCCAGCCAGCACTTAACGGCAGCTAATGTCATCGGCAAGGCGAGGAAGATGTTTTGATGTCAATGCTAGCTAACGTTAGCAAGCTAATCATTTTGAGAACCGTTTCCTGGTTGTGATTCCTCGGCTTGTGACCAACCCGAGGTTTAGGACACAAGTGGACCTTGACTTCGTTTCAGTTTACAGTACGCTAAATGCAGCAGGTATTTAAATGCTATGTAATGTCAGCATTAACACCTTATTGATATATCTAAAAGGAGAGAACGTAACGTTAACGGAAGCAATAGCATTAAAAACAAGCTGGACTGTTGGATGGGTCCTGTTTCCTGTCAAACTAACGTTATAGCCAACGTTAATGTTACACGAAGTGCACGTCTTCCGACTCTTTACACGGTTTTATCTTACGCTATTCATTTCGCTGTGCTTGTATTGCGTCAAATAATAATTTACTATTTTTGTCGTGTTAAGCTACGCGTTGATGCAAACGCAGTACGTTTTAATCCTGCACCAAAATACACTAGCTAGCTAAGTAAGATGAGAGTGAATCCGTTAGCGTTAACCAAGTTAAAGTTATAATGATTGACGGACCTTTGATAGTCGTCAAAATAATATAGCACTCTCAGGCAGGGTTACACATTGACAGCTTTGGAGAAGTGTTCTCACAAACAGAGGCTACAGCTGTGTTGGTGCTAGATATTAGCTAAGTAACGTTAGCCTGTACCTACTTTCCGGTTTTCTCAACTTCACTCCCTACGTTGACTGCAATAACTTGTGTGTATGCAGGTGGAGGCAGGAGGTGTGAGTAGAGTGCAGCAGACATCGGCAGCATGTATTCTGAGTGGCGCTCGCTGCAGCTGGTGGTGCAGAGTGACCAGAGCCACCTCAGCGTTCTGCACTCCTACCCCACGAGCGTGGGCACGGAGGTGGCCAATGCTGTGGTCAGGCCTCTGGGCACGGCGGTGAGCCCCGTCGCCACGGAGAACATCCTCAAGACGGACAAGGAGGTGAGAAAACACTGTTGTACTGCAGCTCCGTGGACACCACACAACGTTTATATGTCGTGTTGATGCTCCGGAGAGCCTCTCAGCTTCAATAACTTATTCCCATAAGATGTATTTTAGACAACAGCAGTTCGATGGTCTGTACTGATTAAAGTAAAAATATAAATTTCAAGATATTTTTGCATGTCGTTCACACTGGGTGATATGGAGAAAATCTAATAACACCATATTTTTTTTGACCAAATACCTCGATGTAGTCATTCCTCTTTGGTATGTCATTATGAGGTTTGCACACCTAGCTTCAGGCAGTTGCCCCCTTTTGTATCTGCCCTTAACTTGTTTCAGTACACCACGCATCTCACCAGGCTGCCTGACAACTTTGGAGCAAAGACCAATGCTGTGTTGGATTTATGCTTCGTGTCATTGTGTCATGATGTCGCACGCACAGCAGGATTTATTCAAGGACCTCTCTGTATTTGGGTTCGTTCATCAGTCCCTTAATCCTCAGCGGTTTCCCAGTTACCGCCGTTAACATCGTGGAATGATGCTACCACCGCTGTGTTTCACTATGGGGGGGATGATAGTACGTGTGTAGACCCCGATTTGGCCCAGATGGTTGACAATCAAACAAAATAGTTAATTTTTCTATCTCATAAGATCAGAGTCCCCCCCCCCCCTTCATGCTGTTAAAGTCTATTTAAATGCCATTAAGCAAACCCCAGTCGGGCTGTCATATGTCTTTGGTGGAGCTACTCCAGCATGTAAAGGAGTGACTGTTGGAGGGCTGCAGAGATAGCTTCTGTTTTCTCTGCGGGAGATGTAGGCCTGAAACACAACAGACACTTCCCCTTCACATTCCATGTTAATGGAAGTGAGCACAGCTTGGTTTGTGATATGTGTGTTTATTTTCTTTACATGTTGTGCGTGGATTATGCAAAAGAATACCTTGAAAATGGCTAGTGTCATGACTTAGAGCCTCTGAGGCACTCAGTGATAAAACTATGTTGGTGTGTTTTAATGAGGATGTCCTGAGCCCCTCTGTAGACTGGTTTTGATAAAAAAAAGAAGAAGCTATAAAGCAGCTGTCTCCCTCATGCTCTGATAAAACACTGGATCGTCTGCTAATACACAACGCTGTGAGCAGGTGAACCGCACAGCTCTTTGCTGTCGTCTTTGATGCATTTACACCAGTGTTTAAATGTACCATTGACTGGAGGATGACGATCTGGTTTGTCGTGCAGCGCTTGTCTTTTGAATAGCCGCTCTGTTTCTGATTTAGCAAGAAACTGCATACCATGATTTGGAGAGTGTTGTTATTGCCGTCATCATCTTGCTCTAAAACTTTGGCCTTCCTTGTTATGAGACAGTAAATCAAGATGTGCTTTAGTCGCTTGACATAGAGCAGACGGAGATATAGCAAAAGAATGGCAGAATATGACACTGTTGAAATACGTTTCGGGAGCTGTCGTTGTCTCCCTCATGTGTCATAAATCAATAACTTAGAACTTATTGAAATTCACACAAATTCATGAGAACGGTTTGGGTTCCTAGGTGAAATGGACCATGGAGGTGCTGTGCTATGGCCTCACCCTGCCCCTGGAGGGGGACACCGTCAAGCTGTGTGTGGATGTGTACACAGACTGGATGATGGCCCTGGTGTCGCCCAGGGACTCCATGCCTCAGCCCGTGGTCAAGGAGCCCAATATGTACGTCCAGACCATCCTCAAGCATCTCTACAACGTCTTTGTGCCGAGGTACGTCAGAGAGAGAGACACCAATCTCACTTGTGTTGCCTGCTGTTTTCTTTACTCTTTCTCTCTCCCTGGTTTCCTCTGTAATCCTCTCATTTCCAACTCTCTGTCTCCCCCCCCAGGCCGGAACAACACAGTCTAAACCACATCAGGCTTTGCCAGCAGGTTCTGACGGCGGTCCAGAAACTGGCCCGAGAGTCCGTTTCCATGGTGAGGGAAACCTGGGAGGTGCTGTTGCTCTTCCTGCTTCGCATCAACGACACATTACTGGCCCCGCCCACGGTAGGAGGTAAGACCCGCCCCTGTACTTACACAGCCCCCTCTTGCGATACTTACTGAGCTATTAACGCTGATTACTAAAAAATCAATAATCCCGTAATATCTTTCAGTCGGGGTGGCTGAGAAACTGGCGGAGAAATTGATGGCCGTGCTGTTCGAGGTGTGGCTGCTGGCATGCGCCCGCTGCTTTCCCACGCCGCCTTACTGGAAGACGTCAAGGGAGATGCTGGCCAACTGGAGACACCACCCTCCTGTCGTGGAGCAGTGGAGCAGAGTGGCCTGTGCCCTGACCTCCAGGTGAGAAAGGCAGCCGCTCAGCTTCACCTCGGATCTAGTGCCGGGAAAGCGTGTTGAGAGGTTTGATTGGAGATAAGATAGTTTGTTTGTCCAACCTGTTTCACTCTTGTGGAGAAGCAAAACTTAGTGGTATATTAGTGGTTGTAATAATGACAATAGGAAAAATGTCTGTATGCTCTACTGAGTGTGATCTGTACATTCCTGTCTCGCTCCTTCAATCCAGGCTCCTGCGCTTTACCCACGGACCGTCCTTCCCGCCTTTTAAAGTCCCCGATGAAGACGCCAGCCTGATCCCTTTAGAGATGGATTACGACTGTGTGGCACAGACGTGGTACCGCTTTCTCCACATGCTCAGGTGCACAGACCCTCATTTCTATGGGTTCTAACCTGAAATGAATGGACACGGATGATTTTTTTTTTTTTTCCATGTTTGGTCAGAGAAGCTGGAGCACAGAAGTCCCTCATATCTCCCGCTCACCGTAAGCTTCTTTTTTACTTAATCTGTGAATTTGCTTATTTCTCCGTTTGTCTCCAGCAACCCGGTGGACCTGAGCAACCCTACGATAGTGAGCACCACTCCCAAATTCCAGGAACAGTTTCTCAACTCCAGCGGCTTGCCTCATGAAGTGGTGCTGCATCCCTGTTTGAAACAGCTGCCCCAGATTTTCTTCAGGGCCATGAGGGGCATCAGCTGCTTAGTGGACGCCTTCTTAGGTAAGAATGAAAAAGAATCGCTCAGTCACTGGTCATTTAACCGCGAGTGTTAAATGACCAGTGAAAACGCACATTTTAGCCAAAGTACTAGAAAACGTGAGCGCTCCATGATGTTGTGTTGTAGAGTTTGTTGTTCCTTCCCGCTAGGCAGCTACCTGCTTCAGTTAGGTAACCCATCACATTCACCATGCTTCTGCTGTCGTTATGATTGTAGGATGGACTGACTTTCCAAGCCTGCCCTGCAGAACATGCAACAGAGATGTTACTCTGACAAAAATAAAGTGTTAATTATGATCTCAATACATAAAAATGCATTTTCTTACTGTAGTGAAATCAATGAGTCTTGGAGGGGAGGAAAAAATATATAAAAAAATCTAAAATGCCCACATTGTTTAGAAAAGGTTACACAGAAGTGTAAAATCTAGTAATTAGTAAATCTAGTAATCTAGCAGTGAAAATGGTAATACGCACTGAAAGTCATTTAAAGGCTGTTAATCTGGGCAGTACTCCTTGTCTAACATCAGGATGGAAGATGTCAAGTCAATAACATTTGTTGAAACATTTGAATAGAAACATGCCGGTGTGATTTGTCTCTCTTTACACTGTAGGTGTCTCTGTTGAAAAGAGAGATGTACGGGAGAGGGTGTTCACTTTTTGTCCAGTGCTGCTCTCTCATGGTACACACATCAGCCGATGCATCGTATAATGCAATGGGCCTATTATTGGTGGTGATGATATTATCAACTGGGCTCAGTCTTTCTGTAGCAAAATGATACACTTCCAGACATTCAGATTAACCTACGAGATCATCGAGGAGGGGTCTCTTGCGGGCGCCTAAAGTCAATCAAGATGGATGGATGTCAATTACTGCTGATTTGTGTCTAACCATTGTCTTGCATGTCTACCAATGACTACCATTGATGATCACAGACTCTGAAGCTGCTTCATCTTCTTTTCTTTAACAATAAATACGGGGAAAATTGCTTCAAATGAACAATGAACTTGTTAACCATAACAAGTTCTGTCCTCTGGAGATGTTGGGGGATGGAAATTTGTTTTTTCTTCTTTGCTAATCAGAAATCTCTTGACGCGAACTAACTTTAGCCCCCAGCTCATCCTACCTTCCTGTCGACAGGTATATCCCGTCCCAGAGCGGACAGCGCTCCGCCCACCCCAGTCAACAGGATGAGCATGTCTCCGCCCCCCTCCATCACCAACACCACGCCCCCTCACAGCCGCAAGCAGCGGCACGCGGTGGTCAACAAAACTACCAGCAAGAGCTCCATCGTAAGTTCAAGCGTTGCATCAAGCTGCAACAAATAGTAAGTGCAGAGTTAGAAAAAGTCTAGATCTATACTGTTATTACCTTATGGTAGCAGGCGTTATGTTTTTAGGTTGTAAGTCTATGTGGTGCATTCTGTGAAAGAGATTTCTCAGGAACGCCGGTACAGAAGCTCAAATATCCACCTGCACTCTAGAATGAACTGACTTTACTCTGGTGGTCCCATTCTCGTGATATCTGAGGAATGGCTGGAGCAGATATTTTGTTAATTAAAATAAATCTTCTTTTAATCTGTTAGTGCCATTCGTCATGTTGTCAGCAGCCTAATCAGATATTCCCCCCCCCACCCTGCAGGGCGGTGGTAGTCAGCCAACCAAAGCATCCCAGCAGCAGCAGCAGCAGCAGCAGCAGACTTCATCCTCCCCGACCCTGCTGTCGAGTCCCAATCAGAGCAGTTGGGAGACTCGGCCCTTGCCGGCCCCGGCGCGGCCGAAGGTCAACAGCATCCTCAATCTGTTCGGCCAGTGGCTGTTCGACGCCGCGCTGGTCCACTGTAAGCTCCACAGCGGCCTCAGCCGAGACCCCAGCATGACCGGTAAGACGTGAGGCGGTGGTTTACAGCGTTTCTTCATTTTGTGCATGGGCAGGTGGGTGTTTCGTTGCCGTTGATCAGTATGTCGTTTTCGTGGAGTTCCCTGTGTTTTTGGTGTCTGTTATTTTATTACTGTGTGTCTTTGGGATTTCCTTTCCTTTTTTTTTTTCCCACCATTTTCTCTAAAACTTCTTTGTGCCTTTTTGTGTGGGTGGAGGGCTTGGTTAGAAGTGGCCTGGTATGAGATTTCCATCTGATTCTAATTCATTTACATCTACCAACTTGAGCTAGAACTACATATAGACTGTAGTCATACGCTCAGGTCTTCATACAGCCATTCTATTCACAGCACACACACACTACTTAGTGTTTGGAAAGACATTTGGCTCCTCATTGGCTCTTAATTAATTCTTCTCTCTTTGGTGTAGTGTCCTGCATGTGTCTGCCATGTCTTATTAATGTTAAAGAACTGTAATGGGTCAAAGGTCAAAATGTATTGAGGAGAACGAGAAACAATAAGAACACAATTCATGCTTAATATGAATTGATCCCAAAATATTGGCTCTGCTTTGATTTTGTGTCTCTCCACTATTTCTGTTATCTTGCAGCCTCTTTTATCCAAATTCTCCTTTCTTATAAATCTTGTAAGTAGGAATGGCAGCTTGTTTTGCCTCACTTGATTTGCATTTCTTGACAAATCTTACCCGCTTTTTTAGTTGAGTTTCCTCATGATCATCGCCATTATCGCCATTGTTTTCTGTTCCCACTGCCTGTCATACATCAAAGTCCACCAGCGTTCTCTCAGTGTTCCTCCAAAGGTGATGGACTGGCTTTCACCAAACTGACCACTTGTCTCGACCATAACGTTGCCAGTTTGTGACAAACGCCACCTCGTTTTTCAGTTCTCATTTTCTTGTTGCTTTGGGTCATACTAATCCTTATTATTTCCTTTCAGACCCCTCAATGTCAGCATTAATGTTTGGTTTCTTATGATTTACTTTTTGTATTGTCGGTTCACTTGAGTTTTGGTTTTATTGGTTTGGTGCCTCAATGCATGACCTGGATGTTCTGTACCTTGGGTGACTGTCATATAAGTGCAATAGAGAGGGAGCTGACACATGGATTTTGCTTAGTGGTCTTGCTGTTGAAAAGATTTTATTACCAGCGCAGTAAACTCAGTCAGATGTTGTGCCAGCAACAGGAAACTCTTTGTGTCAGAGTTACCTTCTGAATGATGTGAGTGTGTGTTTACTGTCATTTAAGTCTTTTTTTTTCTCTTGTTGTGAGAGCGATTAAGTGTCTGCTTTATGCTGCTTTCTTCCCGTCTAATTTAAACTATGTTTCCTTTTTTTTATTGTGGTGTGCTTCTAGTAGCTACATGTCTTCGTTTGCCTGTTTCTCATACTTGCATGTTTTTTACTGGTGACAATATTACAATTCAGGGTCCCTTTCATTCTCTGCCTCTTCGCCCTCTCTACAGCGATAGCCACTCAAGTGGGTCTGGAGCTGAGACGGAAGGGTTCCCAAATGTCCACCGACTCCATGGTGTCCAACCCCATGTTCGACGCCAACGAGTTCCCGGAGAGCTACGAGGCGGGACGAGCCGAGGCCTGCGGGACTCTCTGCCGCATCTTCTGTAGCAAGAAAACCGGAGAGGATATTCTGCCCGTTTACCTGTCCAGGTAAGTCTCAGTCCCAGGGAAGAGGATTTAGTGTCATTAAACTGCAACACTTTGAGTATTCCTCTCTCTCTCTTTCTGCAGGTTCTACATGGTCCTGATTCAGGGTCTCCAGATCTCTGACTTTATCTGTAGACCAGTTCTGGCTTCGATCATTCTCAACTCTTCCTCTCTCTTCTGCACCGACCTGAAGGGCATCAATGTGGTGGTGCCCTACTTCATAGCTGCGCTGGAGACTATTGTACCAGACAGGTTAGACTGCTTTTGGATTGGTTGATGTGATTGATATGATTTTTAGTGAGATTATTCTTCAGAGGTTTTGAGAGGATGTGTTTGGGTCTCAACAGGGAGCTGTCCAAATTCAAGATGTATGTAAATCCCACCGACCTGAGGCGAGCCTCCATCAACATCCTGCTCTCCATGCTGCCATTGCCGCACCATTTTGGCAACATCAAATCAGAGGTTTCATTTTTATTTTTTTAACATCTTCCACCTAAGTGCAGCATTTAGTACGTTTCTGGGTTTGCAGTGTAATTTCAATCCCTTAGCTTATGTGAAAGCCAGTTGAAGTTGAAAACGTCTGGTTGTTTACCATGTTGATGTGGCGCTTTAGGTTCTGTTGGAAGGGAAGTTCAATGAGGAGGATGGGTGGCCTCGTGACCAGCCCGTGTCTTTCCTGTCCCTGAGGCTACGTCTCGTCAACGTCCTCATCGGAGCACTTCAGACGGAGACCGACCCCACCAACACGCAGCTCATTCTGGGTATCTCATGACGTCTTTACTTTGCCTCTCCATATTGTTTACGCAGTATTTTGCCGACTTAAACCATTTTTGGACTGTTTTGAATCTATATTGTTCTATGTATTGTATAATTATTCGCCGCCCCTCCCCTCTCAGGTGCAATGCTAAATATTGTTCAAGACTCTGCGCTGTTGGAGTCCATAGGTGCACAGACCGAAACGGTAAGGCTCCGATCACTGCTGCTGTCTACTTACGAACGTTTAACACGTTACAAGGCTAGAAGCAGTATGACGGACCGGACATCAAGACCACTGTGTGTGTTTTTTTGTGTGTGGTGGTAGGGGAGCATAGACGGGAGCACCGTGAGGAGTCAGAGTCACAGCCGCACCAACAGCGGCATTAGTTTCACCAGCGGGGGCAGCACGGAGGCCACCAGCCCGGACTCCGAGCGCCCCGTCCAGGCCCTGCTCCGAGACTACGGTAAGACGCACCGCTGTCCTCCTGCTGGCTGAATTAACACCAACCTGCATACTTAGCTCGCTAGAACGTTCCTTCATATGATCAGTGCCTACTCGCTGGTCGATGCACAAAACATGTAACTTGCTGGATTAACACATGTGTTCTTCATAGCTTACGTGGTTAAAGTGGTACGCAGAGTTAAGAAGCGTTGGGTAAAATGCCTTTGTGGGTGATGCCGACGTTATTTGCTGTGCTGTTGTAAAGTTTGGAGTGCCTGCTAATTGCCTTTTTTATTGCCTAATTAAATGCATGATTTTAAAAGAGTGTCTTTTCCTCTGTAGGGCTGAGCGATGTTTTTTTTTTAAATAACTGATAATGGCCACACCTTTCTAGCTACTTTCACTTAACACTGTGCTGCTTATGGGTGAGTTTGTCCAGCAGGAAATAGCAGTGTTCCTGATTACATTGTGTTGTGAGGCTCAGTACTGGAAAGCAAAAACCAGACATGAGAGTGAGGCAATTTGTAGGTAATCTGAGGAAGTGCATGGTGCTGCGTCTACTATTGAATGAGAACGCTGCAGCTGGCAGCAGCTAACATCGGGGCCTGCAATGTAATCATATCGAGCAACTCCTCACCGTCAATGTACGTCCACTAAAAATAGAAGAATTCAAGTTGTATATGTACGGTCCTTTCCATAATGTTATCAGACAAATATAATAACAATCTAAGCCTGTCCGTGTTAATAACAAGCACTTTAAACAGACGTACATTGGCGGTGAGGAGTTGCCCGATATGATTACATTGCTGCCCGTTTAGCGGCTGCCGGCTGCAGCGTTCTCCCTCAATACGAAACGTGTCGTCACTTCAACACAAAAAACATACCAAAGTTACCCTTAAAGTGTTTTTTAAACTTTTATCAGATTGGCCTGGTTATTAATATATTCAGTCAGTTTGCTGACTACAGCATACATAAAGTTTTATTTTCTTTCAAAGTCAGAACGTGATCGCTCGGCCCTTTTCCTCAGCAGTGTGTCCACTGTCTATATTTCAGTCTACATTGTGTGCTGTACTGACTTCAAACTCCTACTTCAATGCATGTTTTCAATATCTGATAACAGGGGCATTTCCCTCGACATTTGAGCTGCCTTGCCTGAATCCTGCTTTGCTCTACTCTCTGCGGTGTTTGGTATTTCGGGGTGTTATATGGTTTAGCTCTTCCAGATACGGCGGCAGGCCTGCTGGTGCGCAGCATCCACCTGGTCACCCAGAGACTCAACTCCCAGTGGAGGCAAGACATGAGCATTTCACTGGCCGCCCTGGAGCTGCTGGCCGGGCTTGCCAAGGTAAAGGTACAACGTCCAAACGAACACCACAGAGGGTTACTCAGTGTGACGGTCTGCAATCATCGCCAGTCTTGGTCTATCGCTGCACTTTACAAGTGCATGAAATGAAGAAGTTTGAAGCTGATACTTTTTGTGTGTGTATGTCTGAACCAGGTAAAGGCGGTAGTGGACTCTGCGGACCGTAAACGTGCCGTCAGCTCTATATGCGGGTACATTGTGTTCCAGTGTAGCCGTCCAGCTCCCCTTCAGTCCCGAGACCTCCACTCCATGATTGTAGCTGCCTTCCAGTTTCTGTGCGTGTGGCTCACTGAGCACCCTGACATGCTGGATGAGAAGGTACGTTCAAAAGATAAATTCAAATTTCCCTTCCCAAACTTCTACCAGAAGCACACATACAACTGGATACCATTACCACTTGCTCTGAGATTCGGTCCCTTTTTCCTTTCTGGATCAGGATTGTTTGGTAGAGGTGTTGGAGATCGTGGAGCTGGGAATCTCGGGCAGCAAGTCCCGACAGGAGCTGGAGGTGCGACACAAAGGGGAGAAGGAGCACAACCCGGCTTCAATGAGGGTGAAGGACGCTGCCGAGGCGACTTTGTCCTGGTGAGATTCCTCAAAGTTTCTACAGCACGGATCTTAAACTACAGTTTGTTAATATGGTTAAGGAACACTTTATTTCTCTCTGCTCCGTCTTTTGAGGGTAAAAAAGGAAAACATTTACATTTCATATTTGTTTCTGAATATACAAGGAATTTTTCAATAAAGTTGTCATGCGCAAGGATATCTATTCTATCAGTTCAAGCTTTTTGATACTTCCAGCACCTTATTTATGATAAGTGCCGAGTGGAGCGGTGGTTATCCTGCATTTGCATTTTCATAAAACAGTAACCATCACCGGTGTCATGGTTACATCCAGACTACAGCACAAACGAGCTATCCGAACACGAGCTTTCTAGCCATGACGGCTCCTCCTTATCTGCGAGCATTGACACTTATGTTGATCTGCACAATGGCTGTTGACAAGCTAGCAAACAAATGTCCTTTGTGGAAGAAGTGCAACAGTACTGCTCATGTGGCTTTGCATGCTAAATACTCTGCAAACTGACACTAGGTCAGTTGGCTAGTCAGCTATAGGAGTCAGAATTCAGAACCGCTCGCCATGACCCAGATAGCCAGGCACACAATACACACTGTATCTAAAAAAACCCTGTAACTTTTGTCTAACTCGCACTCCAGACAATAACTAAAGGAAAACATAGTACAATCAAATCATCGCAATCATAAAAACATAGCTGCAAGTTTCAACAATAAAATGTTATGATCAATACATTTGAACATCACTTTTACATCATTTTTGACTCCAAAAACAATGTTGCAACTTTGTATTTTTGTACGTTTTAGTCGTCGTCCTAAATTATGTATTTGTTCTATATTTTCCTGCTGACACAGTGACCTAGTTTCCCCGGCTTTTCCTGCTGGACCTCCACACAGCACACAAGTATATCGTGCTGTGCCTATTGACCCAGTTTGCTTTGGTGTTCCCCAGTATCATGCAGGTGTTGGGGGCCTTCCCTTCCCCGAGCGGACCGGCCTCCACCTGCAGCCTGCTGAACGAAGACACCCTGATTCGCTACGCCCGACTCAGCGCCACAGGAGCCAGCAACTTCCGCTACTTCGTCCTGGACAACTCGGTCATCCTCGCCATGCTGGAGCAACCTCTCGGCAACGAGCAGAGTCAGTAGCTTATCATCCCGTAATACCAGTCCATTGAATGTAGGAGTAGGCACTGTATCACCTGTCATGTTCCAAGCACTGGTTCAGTAAAAATCAATTTCCAACATGCCTTCCATGTTTCTCCATAAAGACCCCAGTCCATCAGTGACGATCCTGATCCGAGGGACGGCGGGCAGACACGCCTGGACCATGCAGCTCTTCCACCAACCCAGAGGAGCTCGGGCCAATCAGAGGGTGAGATCACACCGTGGTTCGCTGCGTCACGAAAGACAACGATGCTAAACCCCGACACCACTTCAGAGAGTTTTTGCTTTGGTCAAAACCTGATGACGCCTCTCTGCTCCCCGTCTGTGCTCTTCTCTCCTTCTACAGCAGGTGTTTATTCCAGAGGGCCGCCCCACACCCAACAATGGCGTGGGCATCAAGTACAACGTCAAGCAGAGGCCCTTCCCCGAAGAGGTGGACAAGATACCTCTTGTCAAAGCTGATGTCAGCATTCCTGACTTGGATGACATCGTCAGTAAAGAGGTCAGAGTCGCATCCTGTCATTGATCTTGTATCCACGTTATGACGAATAATTGATATATTCTACTTCAAGCACAAGCTGACACTGGATTGTTGTCGTGGCTAAACTAGAGCCTGCAGTACATTAATCACTCCTACTGTTCGCTATCGTACAAACTCAGGTGGGTTGTATGGGCTGGCAGGATGATTCCAGAGCTACAAGTACACTGATGAGTTATTTCCCACACGTGAGTTGTTGGAGAGGTGAAATTCCACTTGGGTGTCTCCTGGAATAGAGGGTCAAATCATCTGGTTTGGTGGAAAGCATATGAGGATCACAGATGGTGTACAGTTTCTCAATCCATTACAATACCTTTGCAATCATTTTGAGCTTTTTACTCCAAAAACCATGGTCTGAACAATGACCAGAGTTGAATCAGCACCTCTCTGACACTGTGTTAAGAAAGTGAACATTAGAAACCTCAAACATGCTGAACTTTTGGAGCTGGGTTACTGGATTGGATTGAACCGGTTTAGCTAATAATAATGGTCACCAGCAATCAGCTTTGGGAGGTGACACTTGGACTGTGGGACTTTGTGGGTTCATGCTCCATTTACACAATCAAGTGCCGTCCATCGGCCACAGCCACCTAAAAATGCCCCCCCCTCCCTCTTCTTCTTTTCTTCAGCTGGAAGTTCAGCATGACAGGCTTCGTATTCTGATGACAAAGCAGATAGAGTATGAGGGCACCTTGGAGCGGCACAGCGAGGAAATCTGGAAGACCAAGCCTTACCCCGACCCACAGACAGACTGCAAACCCCCTCCCCCCTCGCAGGAGTTCCAGACAGCGCGCCTCTTCCTCTCCCACTTCGGCTTTCTGTCTCTGGAGGCGCTCAAGGTTGGTCAACATCATTTGTGCGATCGTGGCTGCTGAGAAACTCTCTTGGATTGAAGCTGCAAAAACACATTTTCTGCCAACATCAAATCCTCCAGCTACTCCCACTGAACTTTAATTGGCACTTTTACATTGTGATTCTATTAAAGTCTGTGGAATTATATTATATTATAGTGGTAATGATGCTGTAATGTATGGTGTTTTTGGTCATATATACATTCATAGTATTGTTGTTTTTAATGTGCTTAATTTAGAATGCATGTGTATTCATTTATTATTGATAGGAGCCCAACAACAGTCGTCTACCTCCTCATCTGATTGGCCTGGAGTCATCGTTGCCGGGGTTTTTTGATGACATCAGCTACCTGGATCTGCTTCCCTGCCGACCGTTCGACACCGTCTTCATTTTTTATGTGCGGGCTGGACAGAAAAGCAGCTCCGAGGTGAGTTCACAACAGATTCCGTAGAAAATCGATGCACTGTATAACCAAATTCCCCTTTTATTTCATTACAATTGGAATGAAATGGCTTGAATTTAGCTTGAAAACGTACAGATGTTGGACCTCCGTATGTGTATGAATAAGAAGGAATGTGTCATTGTGCTCGTGGCGGTCAGATCCTGAGGAACGTGGAGTCATCGTCCAGCGTCCAGCCCCACTTTTTGGAGTTCCTGCTGTCCTTGGGCTGGCCTGTGGACGTGGGACGCCACCCAGGGTGGACGGGTCACCTGGACACCAGCTGGTCCCTCAACTCCTGCTCCGACAGCAACGAAATACAGCAAACGGGTAAGTTCTAAGCTAACTACTGCATCGGCTGTGAGGAAGACTTCAGAAGAATGCACATCATGGCATCTGTTATTTATCTGCATGTTGGATATATTTTGATTATTTATTTGATTGTTTGATTTCTCCTAATTACATTTTATTGCATTCTTATTTAGTGTTTTCTTTGTCTTGAGTATGTTTATAGACTGATTTTGTTTGTGTTTCTTGAAAATTTTATGAATACATTTTAAAAAGTCGATGTTGAACTTTTTCTTCCGCTGTAGAGGACGCAGCTACTCCCGAGGACACGGGAGGCTCAATGTTCAACGGGGAGAAGAAGGTTTTGTACTACGCCGACGCTCTGACGGAGATCGCCTTCGTGGTTCCGTCTTTAACAGAAAACTCTGGTCAGTCTTCTCTACGTTGAGCATGAGTCGATAGATGCTGTAATATGATGAAAACCCAGCGAGGGATTCAGGGTTGACAGAGTGGTTGTTTGTCCCTCTTTGCTTCCCCAGAGGAGTCCTCAGTGCACAGTGACTCCACAGTGGAGGCAGACACCAACGCTGACCTCGTGCCTGGTTCACTCAAACAACCCAATCTCACCCTGGAGCTGTGCCCCAACCACTCTGAAAACCTGGAGTCTGCCAAGAAGGTAACGTTTGGCTCACGTCAGTGTATGCTGACGGCACGGATTAGGATTTCTAACGGTTTGATTTGCTTAAACTCACCGTGTGTTGTGTTGTGCTGTTTCTGCAGCTGAGTCCTTTGGTGAAGACAAAGAGGTCGTCGACTGGCAAATCTTTCCCACCACTGGGTCCTGAGACGAAGGTGTTTGTGGTCTGGGTGGAGCGCTTTGATGATATCGGTATGCACATACTTCATTCTATCTCTTTTTCTCTTGTGCTGTCAGTAAGTTACTCCACACAAACCAGTTTATTAAAAACTACTCTGTAGCCTTTGAAAGGTAGCTGTAAAAATGTGTGTGACCAGTGAAATTGAGGTACATGAATGTGACTGTTTTTTGTTTTTAGAGAACTTCCCCTTATCTGATCTCTTGGCGGAAACCAGCACGGGCTTGGAAGCCAGCATGAGCAACAGCACTTCCTGCAGGTATTCAGACGTTTATACTCAAAGCACTCTTGTTTGCTGCCAGTAAGGAGAACATACGGTTGGTGAATTGGTTTTGATCAGGTGCAAAAATGAAGAGAAAACTGCAAAACATCATGTGCGCTCACATGCAGGATAACAAACACACACACAATGCAAAACAGGAAGTACAACATGCAGCGTTTGCAAAAGGCAGGCAGAGAAAAGGAGCTGTGGCAGAGCTGTGACCGCGGTTACAGACTGCTTCGTCGTGAGGACGGTGGATGGATGGAGGCTTGTGGCCTCAAATGTCAAACTGATTTAAATGGCCTGTATTTAACCAGATTAACAATGCCTTGTTATCTGGAGGCGTGTGATCTGATCTGATAACATCAACAGTTCATTTAATTTAGTGAGTCGTTTTCTGAGCTGCCGGGGAATCCTCGAAAGATAATGGACGCTTGGCATTTGTGAAGATTGATGAATTACATTTTTCCTGTTTCCAAAGCAAACTAAGAAGCTATTTTGTGCAAATAAAGAGGCGAGAACGGCATCGGAGGACAAGTTTACACTTGAGATCAGTCACGTTTCACACGATTACAGTCTGATCGATTAAGATACACGTTACAGAATAAGGTCTTTTTGTATAAATGTGGTGTTTCGTATTGTATCGTGCCACCGTTTGTCAAAAAGGCTTCTATTACACGTTCATTTATTGTTGTAGTTTGTTGCAACTCACCTACATCTTCGTCCTCTGCGTTTTTGTGAACTGTTCCCGCTGCAGGTCAGGGTTACTAGAGAAGGACGTTCCTCTCATCTTCATCCACCCCCTGAAGACGGGGCTCTTCAGGATCCGGCTGCATGGGGCCATGGGTAAATTTGGCATGGTGATTCCCCTGGTGGACGGCATGGTGGTCAGCCGCAGAGCACTAGGTAACAACTCGTATGGCTCTCTCTTTCTTCATCCCTCCCGAGCATACGTTTCATTTTTGTTCCTCGTCAGAAAGAAACAGGCAACACGTCTCAATGCATAACAGGGTTTTCCGATGGGACTCTATTAGGATCATTGATGAGCTTACTTAAATGAGAATAATATGCACACACAGATATTTGGTTTAAATACATTGAAAACGAGCTGCATTTCATTTGTTTTTCAATGCAGAAGTTATGGTTTGTAGCACAAAGAAGGCTGTAACACAAGGTGTTGTATTCACAAGTTGAACTTGTGTCACACGAGCTACAGTCAGTTAAAATACAGAGACAGTCTGTGGAAATGTCCTTGTTTAGCTGTACCATAAAAGAAATGCATGCAAGTATTTATCTCTCCTTTGCTGACAGAGAACTTTACCTTAAAAAACATATCGAACCTCATTCTGCTCGCAATGCACGTAATGCCACTCTTGGCCAGCAGGTGGCATAGTTGCAAGCCATGTTTGATTTTGACTTTTTCAATCATAAATGCACAAAAAAATGAACATAAATGTATATATATATTTAACTTTGTCCCTTTAGTCAAAGCAGTTAGTAAAATGTTTCCCTCTCTTATTTGGTGCTGTGACTCGTCAGTTGTAAAAGGATTCATTCACATCACTTTTGTACAGTTTCACAAAAACCTTCCCGTTGACTGCTTTGGCCTGACGAGCTCCTGTGTTTGCCCCCCTTCCCCTCCTCCCCCTCCAGGGTTTCTCGTGCGCCAAACGGTCATCAACGTGTGCCGACGGAAGCGTCTGGAAAGTGACTTGTACAACCCGCCTCACGTGCGGCGGAAGCAGAAAATAACGGAGATCGTCCAGCGTTACCGCAACAAGCAGCTGGAGCCTGAGTTCTACACCTCGCTCTTCCACGAGGTGGGGGAGGGGAAGCCTCACCTTTAACCCCCCCGCCCGCACTGTCCTAACACTGGCGCGCACACACACACACACACACACACACTCTTGTCCTATACTCACACACCATTTACAACTGTGCGTGCATGCATACACACACACACACACACACACACACAGAATCTTTATATTTATACTGTACTGTTTTGTTATTTATATGAATACATATATCAACACTGTCTGCCTTTGACTCCGAGAGCAAAGTGTCAAAAACCATGCCACAGTGGGACGCGCCTCATTTCTGTGTCGCAGCCACTCGCTGAAGACTCGGACAGCTGAAGCTCAGCAGCGACTGTCTTCTCTTCATTTAGTGTTCACGCTTCGTGGCAAAAGAGTTCCTGCTTGTCATTAACTGCAATACAAGTTACACTGTTGGCCTTTCTGAACTTGTAAAAAGCTTGTCCTTTTTAAACCCTGTGTGTTCATGACGGTTTGCTAATACAGAGGTCGTGCCCTTAATCCAGATCTGCATATCTGTTTTTGTTTTAGTCAGATTTCGGGGTTGGATTTTTGCCAAGGAGATAAAGACGCAAGTGTTATTAAAAAGAAAAAATAAAGAAAAGAAAAACTGTTTTGTAGTATACACAGCTGCTGCTGCCGTGAGGCAAGTGGCTTGAAGAGAACAAGGTGATGGAGAACATTAACCACTGATCTGATTTTACAGAAAACAAATTGTCATCCACTGCTAAAGTCTTCCTCCTCGTGCGAAAACAAACGCATTCGGCCATTGCAGCAGCTGACTGAGCACGCCGATTTTTTGCCGTTTCTATATTTTTTATTTTCCAGATGATTTATAGGACTCCTGCGTTGTATTACTGTACGCGGGTGTCATTTTTGACACCTGCGCCGGTCTGAAAGTAGTCCCATCTCGCAACAGCCACTGCACTGCGTGTGTGTGTGTGGGGCCATATGTGTGCTTGTTCAGCCAGTCAAATCATTTACACTACAAGGAGTCATAGTGACTCCTAAAAAAGACGAGCCCATACACAGCATTTAGAGATCTGGGAATAACCCTAAAACTGGTTTACTCTTAGCTTGGTAACATTTTAATTTACTGATGAGAGCAGTCACAGAGCTCCTGGAGTTTGCACTTGACGTTTGCAGGGCTGATATGAAATGACCGCAAAAGACATTTTAGGTATGAAAGAGAATATGTAACTTGTCAGAAATATTCAGTTTTGGATAACAGAAATGTGCAGTTTTGACATCACACATTTTTATTATTTGTTTTGCTTCACAATTAGTCTCACTTCTGTTTTCTCACTGTACTTCTGGTTTTGATTCGAGCCTGTAACAATGTGAACTTATTTATCACAGCGACGAAAGCAGGGCGAACACCTCTAGTTCATTTGTTCTATTGGAGAAGTCTTAATGCACTGAGCACGTTTTGTGTTTGTTTTCTATTCCCTTTGGTTACCGTACATGTCTTTTTGTACTTTGGTGCATTTTTGAAAGCAACCCCCTGCTGAAGGAAGAGTTTTATCTTGCGATCTATGAATGAAGAAGAGGCGCCTGCAGTTTTGTTTTTTTAACCCATCATGTCTAATAGTGCGACTCACTTTTTATGACAGTGCTTTGTGCACGTGCCTTTTTTTTTTTTTTTTTTTTTTTTTGGGAATATGCTTCAAAAACTACATACAATCAGTCATACATTGTATCCTATGTTACTCCTCTGATGTTTGATCATATTTAAAGATTTGCCATGTACAGAAGCGGAGGATGGTATGTAAATATATGCTAGTGTAAGGCATTTACAAGTTGTCTGTTGCATTCCTCATCCGTGAGACGGCGAGAGAAGTTGTGTATGTATGCAATTACGTGTGGGAGCATCACAATGGGTATTGAATGTAACATGCATCAATTAAAACTATTGACATTTTAATTTGTTTCTCCCACTCCTGTTTGACTTTTTCTTCACAGGATGGATCTCGGTTACTTTTAGTAGTTGGAGACAAAATTACACCTGAATAAAACGTTAACGTTTTCAGTTATTCTGTTATGAATATTTGCAGCACGTGCGTAATGTGGTCTGTGGCGTTAAACGGTGGTCGGGTGTGTGCGCGAGCGCAGTGAAACAAAGCCGGATATTAACTTGATAACACCGCCGGCAGGTCTGGGTCCAGGCCCGTGACAGTAAATGTGCCTCCATGCCCTGAAGCTGTGATGACATATGTTAACATACTCTGTTTACCGTAACTACACGTATTTAATATAGCCGAAGAATAACAGTCATAGCTGTTCGCATTGTTTGTATACTGTATACACCAACGACAGTTGTTCACAAAACTGGTTTGAATTAAAAAAGTACCGTTTGAATTCATTAATACTGCACCAAAAAAAACATCATCCAAACGAAACATAATATTCGGATTTCCGACGGACATAAAATCGACTCGACATCCAGCTGTAGCGCGAGACCAGAAGCCCTGAAACGTATGGAGGCACGAGACTCAAATGAGCCCGCGTTCAAAATTGACATATTAGAGTCGAAATGGGCAAGTCGGTGCTCCTATAACAAATTACAAATGAAGGCGGTTTGTTTTTCTTAGACCTGACCTCGTGCCGGAGCGTGTTACCCATTAGAAAGAGAGTTGTTCATCACATTAGCTGCGCTTGTTGCGCCGCTATCCACCGGAGGGCGCTGTCCTCTTAAATTACTAGCTAACGTTCGCTACAGGTGCCGCTGTGACAGGTAGGGACCCTAAATATGTAGCTAACTTACTCAATAACCATGATTTTAAAATGGTTAATAGCGTTATAGGTCGTGACCCTCAATTCAAAGACGAGCTTTTAAAAAAACTAGTTAAAGCTTTTAATTAAGATCTTTATTTTTGTCTTTACTTGCTAGCATATTAACGTTAGCTATTTACACTTAGCCTCACAGCAGTGGTCACCTCACACATTACATTTCGTTGTGGAATTCAAAAAGAGTAAAAAGTAGAACAATACAGTGACTCTGTGACTCGGTCTGTATGATGTGAATTACAGTATTAGTTTTTTATGTCATGTTTTTAAATATGTATAACCTGCTTGGGCATATTAGACGTTCTCTAGTAAACAGGCTGAATTAATTCAGTGCAGCTGCCGTTTTATTCTCTAGTTAGTTAATGGCTTTACTTCATTATTTATTATGATTTTTAATATTCTGTAAAAAGGCTAAACCACTGTAGGGAAATTAATGTAGCGTTAAGCCTCAATGACCACCGTTACAGATGTTTCTGTGTTTGTTTTTGTGTGCTCACTGCAGAAGTGAGCTGTGGCCCCCGGTGTATGTGCGCGCGTGTCTCCTCCTCCTCTCTGCCGTCTCTCCAATCTGAACGGATCTACTGTCGCTCAGCTGGTGCTGCGACCACACAGCCAGAGGCTCTCCACTCGTCGCTTCGGTACTTCTGCTGTGGAACTTTATCTCCTGTGTGTGTGTGTGTGTGTGTGTGTGCGCGGTGCGTTTGCGCGTGGCACCTCGCGAGGGTTTTTTGGGAAACTTGCTGCCGAGAGATGGACTGAAGCAAACAAAACCCGGCAAAGTGTGGATACTCAGAACGAGGAGAGTATTTGTGTTGAGAGCAGCCTCTCTGCGGGTTGAATTAGCACCATGGACGAGGGCGACGGGCATCACGAGAACGGCGTTCACGCCACCAAGGACTCGGACCGACAGCAGCGGCTCAGGCTTTGTGTTTTAAACGAAATACTGAACACCGAGAGGGATTATGTGCGGACGCTGCTTTTCCTTCAGTCGGTAAGTTTTGACATTACCTCTTCACGCTGCTCGTGCTCACGTTCCGCTTTCTCAGACGCGGACAGAACGATGCGCCAAACCCCAACCGCGAATCCTTCAATTCACGTTTGTCTTTCATTTTGAACAAACATGCACGTTGTGTCAAGACCACTGGTGACATTGTATGAAACGACAGGCTGCACTATTCCATTCGGTATATATACAGTGCGTGGTGTGGCACACGTTGTGAGATAAAAAATAAACTTGAATATTTCCCCTCGCTGTAGTTTACAGGCTGGGTATGACGATGAAACAGCAGAAAGAAGTCCTGGGTTTGGCGTGACATTCTGTACACGCGCATAGCTCCTGTTTGCATCCTAACTTTTTAACCCCACGTTATTGTTATATATATATATTAGCACGCGACAGAGTTAGACACGCCTCGCATCTGTGGTTTACAGCTTTTTTTTTTTTTTTTTCTCCACACCGACTTTTATTGCCAGCTTTATTCTGAGGCTGCAGCCTGCTGGAGATGTTATAGGCGTAGACGTGTAGAACTTGGTGCGATCTTAGCTTCACGCTCTCAATGAAAATATGAACGCTATGTGAGGAACACATTCCTGGGAAGATTTGTGTGTGTGTGTTGTGTCGGGGGGGGGAATCATTCACACCTCTCCATTGTGTGTTAAACCTCAGGTTCAAGAGAATCAAAGACGCCCTCAATCCACACTGGCTTTGCAAGTAAATAGATATTCATGAGCATTCAACACCACCACACCTCCCTTGTCCTGACAGAGATGGGAAACCATCTCACACACTCATTGCACATTAGCTGCCTTTCATGAATGAAAGTCCTGGTTATTTTACCACCAGTGTAGACTCTTCCACCTGCAGGAAGCTATTCGCCACGTTTGTCACTTCTTGTCATTTGTTGTTGTCTCTCTCCTCCTCGCCTTGTCATCTGTGGTGCTTGCACAGCGCAGGTGACTTCTGCGTCCAGCTGTTGCAAAGTCAGTGTGGTTTTGCTGACTTTATTATTATGCTTTATTGCTGCCTGTAAGGAAATCCCCTATTTTGTCGCAACAATGTCAAAGGTCAGGATCGGCTCCAAAACACAACCCTCCAGCCGGTCGGGATTCTGGCTCCTCTCGCTCGCTTTGCCAACCCCCGTCTGACTCGGAGGATTGCCGTCATGTTTTACTTGCTGTTTCTTCATGCCACTGATTCTGTTCATTCTCCAATTTCAACATCTGGCAAGCGTTTTGTCAAACATAGCCGTGGTTCCCTCTTTGTCTTGTGCTGTCACGCGTTAAGGAACTTCCTCAAAGTTCTTGAAATAGTTCTGTTCGTCTGCACAGGCGGTTCACAGTAGCCCGGGGGTCGTGGAGACATTAGATTATCATACAGAGTTCAAGTCAGTGATGCATTGCTTTCTCCAGATTATACCCCCACATATTGAGATGATTTCTACAACATTTTGAGGGCCGGTCTCTGTGACACTGCTTCCTTTCTCAGTTCCGCAAGAAGCAGCCGAGGCTTATCTTCTGTTACAAGACAGACCAGGCAGCAGAGGGACATGCTTTAACCCCCGCCACCCCCCCCTCCTCCCCCAAAAGCCAGTACCGACATAATGATAAAGACAAAGCCCCAATGATTTATCAGAGAAGTCTGGAAGCGCCCCCCCCCCCCTGAAAGCTGTCAGTGCCCTCCACCCGCTCCTCCCCATCATCACATCAATTGGCATGTCTTGATTTAAGCCATACGGTGTGCAGCCAGAGGGGAGTCGGGCTTGAGAGAAAGTCTGTTATCACCTGGGTCTTTGCATAGAATGCTCTTTTAGAGAGACACACACACTGCAGTCACATGTAAGTGTCAGAACTTAGGCTAGTCCTCATTTTCCCTTGTTATAAGGCCATAGGTTTTATTTTGATTCATGCACATTTGCAGTTTGATAATAAACACTTCTTGCATTCAATAAATCCTTTGATTTGGTAGAAAACAATTGGTAGATTTTTTTATTTCTATGGTTAACAAGTGTCTTTGGAGGCTGCACAAGATTGCCCCCTTTACAAGTCATCTTCACATATGGGCACATACTGTGCAACCGAGCCTCGACACCAAAGCTCGCTGCTCCATATCAGTGGACCCTATATGTGATAGTATACAGTATTCCAAAACCCACTGAATCTCCATTGGGGCTCGGCAGCTTAGATTGCTTCAGGAGTACACAGATCCGCTGCAAATCCCTCCCATGCTCTCCCCGTCCAGGGTCCAGCTGAGCCTGCTCCCATCCCTCCACGGGAGGCCAGGCTCTGTCACCAACACTGTTGGTGTTGATAAGGGAAGTCTGTCTGTGGGAGCTCAGAACATATGGTTTCAATAGAGATGTGTGAGTGGTTCAGACGGGGGGGGGGGCATAGTCCCTCAGTGTGAAGAAGCTAGAGCAGTGAATGAAAAGTGAGAGTGGTCATTTGTGTTTTCCAACACTTATTTTGTGATCACGGGTTCCGGTTTTTCAAAAAAAAAATTCTGACTGCCTCGAATTCAGTTAGATAGCTTCCTACATTTCCCACAATGCCGTTTTACCGCTCACGGAGAAGATTGATATTCTGACGCTTCTTCTGTGAGTTACACATGTACAACATCAGTCGTTGAACGTCAGTGCAGTGACATCACAGCGCAGATCACTGAAACATTTTCTGCTGTCACACCGGAGATACCTGGACGTGTTTATATTTGCCTCTTTAAGTCCTAAAAACATCACTACAGCCGCGTTTTTCTGGATATAGATGATTTATGTCGACCCCCCCCCCCCCCCCCAACTCAGCTTCTTTTCTTATCTGTTTCCACCTGACAGTTAGGTTTCCCTCAGTCTCTTTGGGGTTTCCCCCACATGTCCTCTTTAGAAATTGATCAGTGGCAGACTGAATGGCAGCTTTCACTCGCCCACATCACTCTCCGTTGCGATTTTTTTCCCTACCTTTGTACTTAGGGCCCCCCCCCCTGTACAGAATCACTTCCCAATCGCAATGATTGCAAACGACACACAAAAGAGAAGGTTATCTGGCTCTGGCGTCCCAGCCGTTTCTGCATGTCACTCATCCGCCGGCAATTACCAGCGCCAACGAGCTCATCCAACGTGCTGGGAGGCAAGGATGTAGGGGCGGTGGGAAGGGAAGAGGTGAGAAGGGGGTTGGGGGGGGTGTGAAAAGAGGGATTAGAGGATTCGTTTTGCTCGGCGCTATCGAACCGAATCTCCAAATCTATCGCTTCTTTGAGGCAGCGAGTCGATCCCTTTTCAATTCCAGGTTTTATTGTGATAACTGCTCGTTTCATGTTTTTGTCTGTGTCTGAATCGATCATTTCTTAGTGGCAAAGATTAGTGGGGATTTTCTTCAGGGCTGCGCTTTGTTGATTTAATCTAGGCAACTGGATTTTCCCCGGTCACGATCCACCAAAATGTAGGCGATACCTAGAACAGGAATACGGTCAGTGGCGTCATACCCGGTAGACGGGAGGGATTTTCCTTCAAAACCATAAATTGGGGGTTTGCCTTTTTGAAAGCAGCTGTCTGACTTTTTTTTTTCTCACCACACTGACCCATGTCTTAGTGAATCCTGTCCAGTTAAGACAACAGCGGAATCGCGTGGCCAATAAGTCAGTCAGCGTTTGGCCTTCCCTCTTGGTTCTGAGAAGTGTGAGACTGAGAGTAGGAAGGTCTCGTCGGATAATAGGAAACATCTGGAAATCCTGCCCCGTTTGACCCTTGCTTCAGGGGCCACACACAAGCCAGTTTACGCATCGTCTAACACTGCCGCCTGTTAGGTGTTCTGCTGTGTGGCTGCACGCACACTGTTAAAGCTGCACACCTCTTTCGCTGCCGTTGACTTTTCAGTACGTCCACCTCGCCGTTGACGAGGATTGCTGAGCAAACAGGACGGACGCAAACACATCATCCGACCGGTGCCCAAACAGACAGACATGCGGGAAGCCGGCTGTGAGCTTCCTCTCCAAACTTGAGCCTGCGTCTACCTCTTTTCCTTTTTTTGTTGTTTTTGTTTTTCCTCCGCTCCATCTCTCCAGCCCTCCCCATTCGGTGGGAAAGACCAGCCTAAAGTTTCTCTGGGTATAAATAGCTTCAGATTGTAACTCTCATCTTTGCCACAATGCCAGCGGTTTCAGTTCGCTGCAACCTCAGCCCAACTGAAGTCATACAAACACAGGCACACATCACATATATAGCAGGAGTGAAGCCTGTGCAGTCCTAACAGCAGGTAGTTACTGTGGCAGGCTGCTGGGGGTCTGTGAGGGTTTATTCTGTTAATACTGGGCTTTAATCTCTAGTCTCATCGTGTATTTTAAACTCACAGATTAATCAAATCTTTTTCAATGCACAAAGAGGTATTGGAGTGGGACAGATATGCAAAAGATATGCTAGATGTTATCTACTGGCTTTGGATTTTTGGTTCGGCAGAGTTCAAAACAACGTACTCGCTCTCCAGGCCGTCTGTTTCCAAGACGTTCGCACACTGGCACTACCTTAAGCTGAGGTCGATGCATACGCCACCGCTCTAACTTGCCACTGTGCATCCCTCCGTCTCACTCCGCATAATCGGTACCTTGCAGTGCCGCCTTTGCCAGACTAACTCATTACAATGCAACGTGTTACATAAACGGGGGGGGTAAATGCCAGTTTCCAACTTAATCTGTGCCTTTTTTTAAGTCATGTGCGCTAAGCCATTTCTTTGAGGCATAAGACTGCAGCAGGAATTTTAAGAATTCAACTTAACAAGTCTAAACCACTGTAACACCCGGAGGCGTGATGTCAAAAAAAAAAAGCGCCCCCCCCCCCCTCATTCTCTCCACAAGAGATGTTTTCGGAGTCTTATCGATACGGATTAGCATTAGAGAAAAGCCACTCCACATGTTGTGAATGTTGACATGGCCATCCTTTTGGGATGTGTATGTATCTAATGGATTAAGTGTTTCCCTTTGAGTAGTTCTCTGTCAATGGTTGCGCA